TGACTTTATATTACTTCTTCCCTGTCTTTTATACACACATAAACACACATATATATGAAAAAAATGTATAACCGACATAAGATTGGTACTGTTTCATAGAAATCTTCAATGACCTTTTAAATAAGCGTTCATCTAATATATTTTATATAGTCCTGCATAACTATCATATTGAGAGCTCTTTATTGTTCATCCAAGAGTGTACTGCAACTTCTCTTGCCTTTTGAATTATACTCTTTGCTATTTCCTATATGCTACATCTGGAGGTATTAAGCACTGATTTTCTTTAAATTAACTACCCCTCCTCCACTAAAGCACTCTCCACTGAGCTGCCCCACCTGCCCCAACACTGGCTTTCACCACCACAATGGTGCAGTCTTTTGATGGATATTTTTGACTTATTAGATAGTATATTCGCTTTCTCTACTGGTTTATATACCAAAAAATTTATTGGAGTAGGATAAGAACTTAAACATCCAGCTAAGCTTTAATACCCTTCAATTCCTTGCAGACAGCAAGGGGCTCGTGGTGAGAAGAGCCCACCCTTGCACTCCTGTGGTCAGAAGCAGCCTGTGCCTGCATGGGGGGGGGGCTCTGCTCCAGCCCTGCTTCCCCTCCTCTGCCCTACATCACTGCAATGGTTACATAATATCTCACTGCATGATACCCAGTAACTAGAACATATTGACAAATAAAAAGGTCGCTTCCTGTTGCAAAATCAATCCTGTACGTCCTTAAAAATATTACGTTCCCCAAAAGTTACTATACTTACACTCTCATTCACATGTATAAAAACAACTGTTGTGGCTGACTGTGCTGAGCACAGGATGTTAACAAATCTCCTCATGTTTGCCCATCAAATAGGTACAAAAAGTGTCTCCATGCTTTTGTTTATGATTCCGAACTATGACTGAAGCTCTGTGCTTGTGTTTTTATTACCCCCCCCCCTTTATTTATTTATCTTTCCATCAGCACACCAGTGGGGCGGGAGGGAGGACCGGTCCAAATGTTCTGGCCACCCACCTGTGCACCTGACGCCTGCTGTTTATCTCCAGCGAGGCTCAGGGGCCTTGTGACATTGACTCTCTTCGTACTCACCTCCAGCCACTCTTCTGATGTCGTTATTTTTCGTGCCCACTTTCTAGAGGGCTGAATCGCTCGCTGTCTGCCTATTAATTTCTAACTTAACCGCCTATAATAATGTTACTTCCTATGCTCTCCACCGTGCCCTGTAGACATGTTTTTAACATCTCATTGTACTTTGAGCAAGTGAGCCTCAAGGGCAGTAAGGGATTTGCCCAACAGCAGGTCAGGATAACTAAGCTCCCTGATTGGACAGTGTGTGTCCTCCCACAGCCTGGCAGCCCCTCTCATCTTCCAAAGAGGGTTGTCAAGTAGTCACTTTGCTTCTGCCACACGTTTCTTTCAAACTTTTAAAGGAAGCCAATGCGCACACACAGAGAAAAAACTCATAACCCTCAGCACTGATCTTTCACTAATGTGGTTAGACACAGCCCTGAGGAAGCAGTAATTCAGGCTGTCCAATCTGCTACGTTAGGGGCTGCAACTCCACCCAGGTCCCCGCCGGCCCACTCAGCGTAGTAGAGCACCTCTCCAGCAGGCCCAGACACCTGTAACCAGGGATGCGCCTGGATACCTGGCACAGCCGGGTGCCACGGGTGGGAGGAAAAAAAAAAAAAGAAAGAAAGGAAGGAAAAAAAAAAAAAAAAAGCATTTCACCAGTAGCCAAAGAACTTAGAAAAGAACAGGGTTTATTTAGATCAGCGTCTGCTACCAAGGAGGACAGCAGGCGAGTTTCCAGGACAGGAACCAAGCTAGCAGTGAGAGATATTGGGGCTTTTTATAAAAGTTTGAGACAGGTCTAGACAGTACATTCTCCGAAAAATCCGGATCACCGAGCACTCTGCGGATCTCTACAGGGTGCCAACATTTTAAAAGTTACGTGTTTCAGCTCCAACTACGACAAGTCCAGTTTTCGCGATTGTTAGCTTCAGATACAAAGTGACCTAGAGAGCTTCATCTTTTACAGAAGATGGGTCAGGATTCCTTTGGAGGACAAACGGGCCTTAGATCAGGAAGTTTTTGCAGTCCTACTAGGCCCCTATGAGAGCAGGGTTTTTAACTGGATGTCCGCGGCGCGCCAAAGGCCGTAGCTGGAACTAGTTGTTGAGGCTTTTATCCCTCTCACGCGCGCGTAGTGAAACCCAGCGCAACCCGGCGCCGGGCGGAAACCTGGGTCTGCCGGGTCTAGCAGCCTTCCAGGTGGTGACGCCACCACGGCCCGGCTCCGCCCTGCCATCCTCCGGGTTGACCGCGCGCTAGCCAATCTCGGGTCGGGGGCGGAGCCCCGAGGCTCCGCCTCGCACCCAGTTTTCCGGGCCCTGTGACCCCCGGCTGTGCTTGACCCCCGAGACCTCCCAGCCCAGCGCCATGGACCCGGCGGCGGCCGAGCAAGTGAGCGAGGTGGTGGCAGCGAAGATGCTCCAGTACCGGCGAGACGAGTCCGGCTGGAAGAGTTGCCGAGGAGGCGTGAGTGGGGAGCCGGGCGGGAAGGGGTGGCGAGACTTTGCTCCCGAGGGTCCCGGACCCCAGGCCTGGTCTTTTCCTCCTACTCTCAGAGCAGACGGAGAGGGACGCCGTGGGGTCAGTGTGGCCTCCTGTTCGCGGTGGCCCCGGGAGGGGGGCGCCGGGCACGAGACTGGCATACCTTGTGTGGGTGGTGGTGAGGTTGGAACCGCCCCAGGCTCGAGAGCGTTCACTCGGTTCCCCCCACCTGCGCGCCCGCCGCTGTAGTCCTAGGGTGGCAAGAAACATTGTCCTTACTGGACGCAGTTTTGAACAAATTGCTTGAGGAAACAAATACGTGGTGTGGTGGTCGTGAAGGTGATCTGAACACCATCCACAGCCTTGGAGCCCACCGGGTAACGAAGGGCACTTTTTCTCCGTCACCATCTGCGCGGGGGTCCTCCCAGAATCACCTCTCCTGAGGCTTTTCACCCCTTTTCCACAGCAGTAGAGACTGAGCCAGGAGTTCCCCCAGAGCCTGGCTAGCCCTAAACTTCTACGCTTCTGTGCCTTTTGACAGCCTGGAGTTGCAGTTTCCTGGAGGCCATCCGCGGAGTTTGCGGGCAGCCTGTAAGTGCACATCCCCTTCCAAGCTTGTGAGAAGCCACACCCGGTGCTGCTGGGTTTGTTTCCTGAAAGGCTCCAGTTCACCCTGCACCTTGTGATTGGCTCTACAGGTGTCTTACAAAAGCCATCATCTTCTGTCCTCAGCTGAATCATTTCCAGCCAACTGTACCCTTGAGAAAGCTTATGACCCACCTCAAAGCCCCAGCGGGTCAGGCAGGGCTCTGCAGCTCCTGTGCTGCCCACCAGTACTGAAGAGCTGTGAGGGACACGGCATGGTTGCTGTTAGTGTGTCTTAAAATAGCAAGTGTGACTGATGCCTGGGGCCCAATTCCTGTCTGTGTTCCAGGTACCGGGGTGAGGGGGTTCTGTGCGGTACCCCAGAGGAGGTGTGGGACTGCATAAAGCCAGCAGCCGGGGGCTTGCGAGAGAAGTGGGATGAGAACGTGACCAGTTTTGAAATTATTGAAAGCATCACCGACGTAAGTTTCCCCCAGCGTGTTTTCCATGGATAGTGTCTATGAAGCCACCACGGGAACCTGCGCTCAGCCCCTCCCGTAGGGACTGTGGCACCTTTTGGCAGGAGAGGTGCCCTGCATACAGGTGGGAGACAGCATGACACACAGAGTATAGGTAACAGTAGCTAATGAAGAGGGACAGAGGGTACCTGGATATCCGGGACAAGAGTCAGTGGTAGGCTGCGGCCCCTTAGCTCTCACTGGAGAGACTCTTGCCCAGGAGTCAGGGTCCTCTACCTGCTGTGGGCTGTGTCAGGCACCATCTTCAGGATTAGCATTTCTTTGGACGAGTGGACTCCATCAAGACTAGCCCTGTCCACCAGAACTTTCTTCAGTGATGGGAGTGTTCCATTGCTGCTTTGTCCAACATGGTGGCCATGTAACCTATGTGGCATGGAGCATTAGAAGGTACCTGGTTTAAGGAAATGAATTAATCTTATTTAATTTCAACTAATTTAAATAGCCATGTGGAGCTCCTGGCTCCCATAATAGACAGCTCAGATGTTCATAAGCATGCCCTGAGACCCTCTATAGCTGTAAGATCTGGCCTCATTTTGATTACAGAAGCTCAGGGAAATGAAAAATCATGGTCAAAACTAGTAAGCAAGGTGCCACTGGCAAAGCACTGCTGACCTGTGTGGTTCGAATAATATCTTGGTTCTGCCTTCTCAAGAGCACTTACTGGCTGTTTACACAGGTAATGATGTGCAGCCTCACAAAGTAGCTCCCGTGGGAGAGACTGTGGCTGCCGGGCATTCCAAATCCTGGCCCAGAAGCCACCTGTTGGGTGCTTAGCTCAGGTATTTAGGTCAGTGTTTCCTGAAATATGGGTGCATATCCTGGGGTGGAGAAGGGCACACAGTGAGAGCTGGAGTTGGATCGCATAGGAAGGAGGCTGCCCTGCTTCAGCTCCCTCGGGTGCTGCTGTGTACTAGTGGCTTATCTTTGTAGCCAAACAAATAGCCATCCTCCGGCTCAGAATTAGACTCTAGCAATCCTTTGTATGTACATTTTGCAGTTGCCTATAATTTATGGCAAGTGATTCTCTGGGGTAGTTTCAATACTTAAATAGCTTCCTCTAAGATTTGTTTTTTTACATATTTAACCAAATAATAAGATAGGTAAAATTTAAGGTAGTAGGCAAATACTTGTACACAAGTAGTTGAAGTTGAGGAAATTTAGGTTAACGTGCTTTAAAACCAAATTACAACTATAACAACAGGAAGGCCACATCTAGAATTTTCTTACTTTGAGTCTTTTTTTAGCACATTGGCCTTTTTTGTCTTGGTACAGTGACTGGTGGGGAAGGGAGAATGAAAAGCTTAGGAAATTACAGGCTGCTGCAAGTTGCTGCTGCAGGGACAATTCAGCAATGAGCAATGGCATTTATTGGCTCCTTCTGTGGGTGCTACAAAGAGGGTTTTTTAAGCAAAGCCCTGGGGGTAGAAACAGTTTGACAGAGGTAAAGAGGGATCTGGATTCGCAGAGGTCAGTGGGCCTACTAGGAGCCAGCTGGCAGGACCCCCACTCTCCCACCCCCCCAGCTCCAGGGTGCCACCTGCTGGAGAAGGCAGGCACCTCTCTGCCTCTTATGACGGGATGTCTCTAGGCCCCAGGAAGAATGCTTTCCTCACTGCTGCCTTACAAGCACCTCACTTTCCCAGCTTGTCGGGGTGCAGGATGACGGGGACTTGCTTCTGCTACACTCTCATCTGGACTCAGTTGTCCATGCCATCTTGGCCAGCTTGCCAGGGGCCTTCCTGCTGCTTTGGCTACCCCGGTGTGTCCCTGGATGGGGCTGCTGCTTCCCAGGACCCTCTCCCCTGGCACTGTGTGTCCCACCCCCATGAGCTTCCAGGAACATGTAAAGCCCTCTTCGTGTGTTTTGGCTTGCGTACCTGTGATGGAATTCTGAGAAATTAGCCATCATCTCCCCATGTGTAGTTGACATCTTACATTGAAATGACAGCTGTTTTCATAAGATGCAAAGCAGGGCAGTGTTGACATCTATGAAGTGTCGGCTTTTTGTTTTGTATTGTTTTGCGGTACCAGGGATCGAACTCAGGACCTTGTGCTTAACAGGCAAGCACTTATTCCACTGAGCTATCTCCCCAGCCCCTAGTGTCAGTTTTAAACACTCCAATAGCATGATTTTTAGTCACCTCTAAATAACAGGTGAACTTGTGTTTAATATTACCTGTTTTAAAAATACATGATTAAATTTTTCTTATTCAGAAATTGTGTATAATGACTTTCCTTGAACTCAAATTTCCATTCCACACAACCGCAACCTGCTAGATTTCAATAAGATGATACATGTTTACTCTTGGAAGGCTTCATCTTGTATCATAGACATGCCTACAGATGGATACTATTTTTTAAAAACTATCCATTTCCTTTGACTGTAAGACTTTGTTAAAAGTGGGATTAAGGTATAATTTATTAAAATAATATGATTGCAAATTTTGATGAAGAATTATTCAGCACAAAGAGAAAAATGTTTCACACCTCTGCAGAAAATAAATAGTACAGGGAGCCCTTCCCACTGCTCCTTGCTATCCAGGAAGTTTATATTTGTAATCCCATGGAAAAGTTATTGGAATTCTAGGGAGTTAATTCCAACCTGCCACTCCCAATGCAACCCCTGGTGTAAATAAAGACACAATTATATATATCTAAAATGATGGGGAGCCAAGAGGGTCCTGGGGCCAGCTAGGGTGATGGCTAACCAGGACAAAGACCCAGTGCCAAACCAGGGTTTTATTAAATTGTGAAGAAGGGAGTGGCTTGAGGATGAATGGCTGTGGGAATGGCAGAAAGCATGCAAGTGCCAGGAGCTGGGCTAGGTGGGAGGCCTTGATTTGCCTCTGCAGTGCGCAGAGAGAAGGGGATGCAGAAAGAATAATGTGCAGAACACACTTCAGAGTGGTAGCTAATGTTTTGGGGTCAGTGCTTCAGCTCTGATGTGTAACTTTTTTATGCACTGGGAAATCATGGCCTCTTACTCAAGGCTATATCCCAGCTGACAGCATGCAGCTTGGCTCTCCCTACCGCCCAGCTCACGTATGTTCTTTGGGAGCTACGGGACAGGATAACACTCACCTGTCACCTTGTTTCAAAGAGTACACATCAGCACCTCAACTGATTGAGTTGCATTGCTTAAACCCCTGAAGGGATAAGGAAAAATCCTAGCCAGCTCTGTACAGGTCAGTACGTGGAAATAGGGCCAGGTTTGGCCAAAATGGAGATAACTGCTCTTTCAAGGAGAGTCATCCGGGTGAACCTCCGCAGAATAGGCAGTCTTTGTCCTAATTCATGTGTCGGAGCAGAAGACTTCTCACCAGAGGGACACACCTTCATGGGAGACCAGCCGCAGAAAACAACCTGGGGAGCTGGGGTTTGCCAGAAGGCAGGGAAGCAAGCAGTAGCTCTTCATCATTTAGTAAAACTGCAGAGACGTGGAAAAGGGGCCCTTCCCCAGTGTGATTTGGAAATGTCTCAAATGTTCGGATTCCGACATGGATGAAGGATAGACACGTGGATGGGTGCACAGGACCAAGTGCCCTCCCCCAAGTTCGTTGCATTCGTGTCATGCACTGCCACCTGCAGGGTTTCTTCTAGGCTCCTTTTTCTCTTGGGCTCCAGATACCATCTCTTGGCAATGACACATGCGGAAGCAACAGTCCCAGGTGGAGGCTGTAGGGCTACTACAAAATCACTCCTGCCGTTCCTACTACAGAATATTAGAACACACAAAAAACAAAATTGGCCAAACCCCAAGTCTTGGAGCAGACTTAAGGGAGAGGAATCCAAGGAAGGCTAACCCTGGGTGTAGTGCATGGGTTAAACGTCACAGTCATCACCCCTGGTGTTGTAGCCACCCCAGGGAATCTTCCAGCGTGGCACAGTCACGCTGAGTGATTCTCACTGGTCTGCGGGCGAGGATTCCTATGCCCATTTACAAGCAGGAGAGAAGGCCTGCCTGCAGGTGCAGCCCTGTCCCAGCATGCTTAGAAATGGAATAGGAAGCTGATCCCAAGTACACCTGCTGAAAAGTTCCCAAGTGTCCCAGGTCAAGTGAGACTACAGGGCCTCTCTCCTGTCAAGGGGTCCTGTTTCCCAGGCTCTGGAGCATGAGGTGGGGCTGGGAGGAGAAGTGTGGCCCTCACACGCACAGGGCCCCTTGCTTTGGCAGACTCTGTGCGTGAGCAGGACCTCCACGCCCTCAGCCGCCATGAAGCTCATTTCTCCCAGGGACTTTGTGGACTTGGTGCTGATCAAGAAATACGAAGATGGCACCCTCAGCTCCAATGGTGAGTGGTCTCCAAGTGCTGCTGGCTGCGCAGGGCGATCCTGGGCTCTCCTCCATACCCTGGAGACCCTCAAGGATAGTCAGCCACCAGAAACCAGCCGAGAACTCACTCAAGCCCTGGGTCCCTCCCTTGGTGCTGAGCTGGCCTTGAAGGGGCTGATGCGCTTCTGTGCCCAGGGCTTGGACAGGAGAGCCTCAGTTTGTCCTATAGATATGCTGGTCACCAGTTGGTACATGGCCCCTGCCATCCTCTGAGCCTGCCTAGGGGGATGAGGGACACCTCTTTGCCTCTGATGGCTGAGATTTGAGATAGGCACATTCCTCCTCCCAGCCCCCAAATTCCCATTCTGGAATGTTCTTCTCTCTACTAGTCTTATAAACTGGATGAGGATGTATACAGGAGTGTATTCATGTGTGTGTGTCTGAGTGTGTGTGTTGAGTGCATGTGTGTGCATGAGGAAGTGTAAGACGCAGCAGGGGGTAGCAGGAATCCCACTGCCTCGCCCTGGGCTCCGGGTGAGTGGGGCCGTGAACACAGGCCCGTCAGTGTGCAGGCTGGGCTGGCCGAAGGTCTTGCTCACTGCCCATTGGAACTCCTCTCCAGCTACCCATGTGGAGCATGCACTGTGTCCCCCGAAGCCAGGATTCGTGAGAGGATTTAACTATCCGTGTGGGTGCTTCTGCGAACCTCTGCCAGGGTAAGCATTCCTGGGTACAGGCACCTGCCTGAGGCCTAGCTGTCTTCACTGTGGACCTGAGGATGGGTACTGGGAGTTGGGGTGGGGTGCCCAGTTGTTTGGGTGGGTCCTGAGACGAAGCTTTGGGATCTAGGTCTGGTCCTGGGCCACCTCCTCTCTGGGAGTGGTCCCTGCTCTTCTTCTTGGCCACCATGAACTAAACACCTTTGTGCCACTGTGCCCCTATGCCATGGTGTTCCTGCCATGGAGTCAGCTGGCGTCAGACGGAATTTCCTGACGCTGTACTTCAAATTCAACCCCTCCTTTAAGTGGTGGGTGTCAGGTGTTGTGTCCAGTATGGGGAAGCTGACCTAGATGGGTACTTTGACTATAATCCCCAAGAATAAAAATGTCGTAGGTCTCACTTTTACAGAATTACCACACATACACACACGTTAGTGACATAGTATGCCAAAGTTCTTGGTATGTGATATAGTTGGGCAGGAAGTGTTTCACAAATGAATTATGATATAGGGCTCATTAGACAACTGTCATGGTCCCATTTACTGGATGAGGAAACTGAGGTTTGGGATCATTAAGTGCTGTGACCAGGGTCAGAGGCTGGAAAGCTGGCAGATCTGAGTTCTGTGCCTCTCCGTGGTCTCTGGGCATTGCCCACCAGCCTGAGGAGCTGTGATGACAGCTGTCCCTGCCATGCATTCACACCAGGCCTGTCTCTTCCCAGCTCAAGGGCAGAAGGAGGAACTGAAGCCCGCACTGAGTTATCCTGGAGCCTAGCAGCCTCCCTTGTGTGCTCATGGGTGTGGCCAGATTTTACCAGAAGCTTTCCACATGATTATTTTTTTTTTTGTACCTGGGATTGAACTCGGGACCTTGTGCTCACCAGGCAGGCACATACACCACTGAGCTATCTCCTCAGCCCCATGTGGTTAATATGCTGAAGGCATTAAGTTATCTGGGAACCACCCAAGTTGGCAGTAAAAGAACTGCACCTGCTGTTACAGCTGTGCGAGTGTCCCAGTGTTTCCTGCAGATACCAGGAGTGATGGCTGGGTTCTCCCTACAGTGCCACATAATGGCTTGGGTGTAGGGGATTTTACACAGAACTCAGACCTGGCACCCACACCCACCCGTGTGTAGCACTCTTTGCTAAGTTTGCAGACTTCCTGCGAAAGCCTTTGAGTTGGAAACTAGCCTCGCCTTGCCTGAGCGCACACCAGTTTGAGTTCCCTTTGGGCAGAGATGTCCAAGGTCCCCTGGCTTACACTGAAGGTACTAACTGCCACCTTATTTCTGTGCCCTTCCGGGCAGGCAGTCAGCTGCTGAGAGCCACCTTCGCTGGGTTTTAGATTGGCGGGGGAGGGGCTTTCAAAACAAGATTGGGAGTCCTTACTCCCTAGGGGCAGAACCCCAGGTCTGTCTTCTTTGAGGGATTGATTTTCTTTACCTTTTGGTTGCTGGACCAAATATCTGACATGCACAATGTATAGGAAGAGAGATCTCATTTGGCTTACAGAGTCAGAGGCTTCGGTCCATGGTAAACTGGCTCCAAGACAGAAACACGGCAGAAAGGGGCCAATCGCCTCACGGTGGTGAGGAAGCAGAGAGCCTGAAGAGTTAGAGAGAAAGGCGCCACGGACCAGATACAGCTGTCCAAGGCCAGACCCAGCCAACTGCTTTCTCCAGCCGGCCCCACCTCCTAACAGCCCATTCAGCCAAAAGCCCACTGGTGGGTTAATCCTCTCATGAGGTCACCGTCCAGTCAGTCCTCTGCGCCCATCTCTGCTGTCTTGGGGATCAAGCCCTTGATACATGAGACTCTGGGGAGCACTTCACACTGAAGCTATCACAGAGGGAGCACAGTGTGATCCCCTCACCGTCAGGTGGCAAAGGTGGTGGCACAGATTTGCAGGTGGGGCGTCAGGGCCGAAAAGGTCCCCGAGCACTCAGCTGGCACATAGGCGCTGCCTCGAGCCTTGCTGTCAGCTCCTGTCCACCCCGTGAAGAGTGTGTTGTCCAAGACGTGGCTCTGTGCTGTGGGTCTGAACCCGGGACCCTGTTTGTCCCTCTCTCCTGACTACAGCTCTAAGCCCCACACTTGCATTCAGCCACCAGCAGTAGCAAATGATGTGACTGGGTGTCAGCACTTCTATAAAAGTCAACTGACATTTTTCTTTTGACAACCGTAAGGTATTGTCATTATGCCAATTTTTTGGTAAATATGCTAGGGCACAGAGAGGTACTAAGGTTCTTGGAACTTACCCCAGACCACAAACCCAGCAAATGATACAGCTATCCGACTTCAGAATCTGTGCTCTTAAGATGTTGACCTGTTGATTTGTCTGTTTTTACCAAAACAGAGAAAGTATCTTCCCTCTTTAGGGATTCCTTTCCTTGCACAGGAGAGGGAAAACAGCACACAAAAGTGAGTAGTTAGATAATCTGTCCACACTCCGAGTTATCAAATGTGTAGCTGTGGAGAAAACTAAAGCCAGATTAAGGGTGACTGGGAATGAGTCCCCTGGAGGTCAGCAGAGACTCTGTGGTGGGCCTCTGAGCAGTCCTCAGCACAGGAAATGTGGCCTGGTGATGGTGGTGGTGGCGCTGGGGGTGGGGGTGGGGGTGGGGGTGGGTGGGGGAGGGGCAGGGGCAAAGTCCCAGGGGAGGTGCAGTCACAGGCAGGCAGTGCTTCCTCCTTGGCCATGCCCTAAACTGCCTGCATCTGCCTCCACCCTGGGACTTTGCTCCTGCCTCCTTTGCTGCCTCACCTCCCCACACGCCAGGCTCGGCGGGTGGAGAAGTCTGTGGACAAGGCTGTGTGGTGTCCTCACGTCCAGCCCTAGCCTACATGATGGAAGCACAGCTAGCTCCATGTCGAGCAGCTGGGTCCGAACAGCCGCCCTGTCCTATGAGGCCAGATGGTCTCCACAGTTCCGGCCACAGCGAGGCTCACGGCAGTGGAAACCTTGTGGGGTCCTCTGCAGTGGGGCCCCTTGGCAAATCTGACTTTGGTGGACATGTCAGTCAGTCCCCTGTTGCTTCAAGTGCCCACGTTTGTGTTGCATCCAGAGCTGAGTGTTGCTGTCAAGTCCCTCCCCACGTGGGCAGAACCTGGCCTCCAGCCTTCAGCCCAGGGGGCCCTGCCACAGCCCTGCCCACCCCCAGGGATTCTGCCACCCCCACCCACATCCACACATGCTCAGCCAGTCGTACCCAAGTCTCAGATTCTGGCTGAGTTCAGTATATCTGAGGATCTCAAAGGGGTTTTGTCCTGTTGGGGTGACCCTGTCATTACTGACCATGTTTGAATTTAAGCCAAACAAGTTAAAGGACGCCTACTTTAAAAATTTCAATACCTGTGTTCATCTCAGCACAAATAGTATTTTTATGAACAGTAACTTTTTCAAAACAAAAATTAGTATTGAGAAGAGTAGCACAGTTTCCCTTTCCTGGCAGGGTGCGTGGAAGCACATGCCTGCTTCTGTAGTCTGCCCTGTGGCTCCTGAGGAGCAGAGGAGAAAGGGCAGTTCACATCTTCATGGTGCTGTGCCTGCAGCTGTGGTGGCCTTGGCAGAGGCCGGGAAGGACCTGGGTTTCCTCAGTGAAGGCTCCGCCCTCATTGGGCAGGGGCAGGTGACATCCGAGTCCCTTCTTCCAGGGCTAGGCCTGGAAGGGTGAGCTCTCAGAGCGTTTGTGAGGCTTGTCAGAAGCTGGGAACTACCTCCTTGCACTGGAAGGAGAGCCTGCTCCCTGCCTGCAGCCCGGGGAGCTGTGGGGTGCACCCACACAGGGACAGGGTGCACCCGCTCCCGCAGGAGTACTAAAGGCAGCATGGCGTGGGGTGTGACCATCATGGTGGCTGTATCTCCCGGGTGACGCTCTGCTTGCCTGGTGAGCGAGCTCCTGACGTGGCTCCCCTATTGCCTTCACAGGGAGCCCGGCAAGACCAGGCTGATCTCATTCTTCCAGACTGACCTCAGTGGCTACTTGCCACAGAGTGTGGTGGACTCCTTCTTCCCGCGCAGCATGGCCTGCTTTTACACCAACCTTCAGAAAGCAGTGAAGCAGTTCCACAGCTGAGCTTTCACTTGAGAGCTGGTGGAGATCGGGCCTGACGCAGGAGGAGCCCTAGGTGCAGTGAGAGCCAGAAGGCTGGCTTCTGCTCTCTGAGACACCTGGTGGCCAGCCAGCGAGTCTGAGCGCCAGCCATAGGCAGCAGGTGCTACCCCTTCCTCTCAGGACTGGCAGGGGAATGCTGTTTGCTGCTGCGGCTCTGCCTGGGATCCAAGCAGACTGCTGGGTGAACCCAGACTTCTGGCCACCCGACAGGGCCTCATCTCAGTGCTGGATGATGCCATGCGGTTCAAAGCCCTAGTGCAGCCACTCCCAAGAGGCCACGTGCTGTGAGCTGTGACTGGTACTGAATACTGTGTCCTGCACCGTGACCGGCATCTGTAGCTCCCCAACCCTGTGTTACCAACTTGGACTCGTGTAGGCTAACACTGTACAAGATTCCCCACTTAATGTCAACCTGGGAAATGTTGATGTAAACAATGAGATAAGCCTTGAGGAAAGCACTTCAGTGTGCCCCGGCGTGTGTCTTCCGTTGATGACCATTCCTTTTCTGTCTTCTTTCCCCTCACTGAATTTACCTCCATGGCCCTAGCGACTGCGGTTTGCTTACACCCTGTCCAGACCTACAGCCTGGTGGTAATTAGAAACTCTGCCTGGCTTCTCCCCTCAGCCCAGCTCTGGGGAAAAGAGGCCCCCTACCCAGGCATCTATCTGCCTCTTCTCTCCTACAAGACAGGACAAACATTCACTGCCAGCCAGGATAGAGAGAGGGACAGAGGAGAGGCCAACATAGGCAGCCTGGCCAGACGCCCCGGATCTGCCTTGGGTCCAGCAGGGACTGGGCCCCCAAGACCAGTACAGTGTCTTTCCCTCTTCCCAGTGAGGCTACACAGCCTCACAATCCTTCATGGGACCTTCATAATCCTTCCCCACATTCACCCTTGGGAGAGAACCATGGAGCCAAAGCCACTCCCATACTGCAGCCTGTGGGGAGTTGCCCCGGAGTTTTCCCTTTGCCCTTCCAGAGGGAAACACTTCCCTGGGGTGAGAGCAGGCCCTTCCCCACCTCGGAGGTCTTCGGCGACTCACTGCCAAGGTAGAAAGAGCTCCCCTTCTCAGTCATACTGGTGAGGTCCTCGGCTCCCACGTCTCCCCCAGGAATCTCCATGGGATGCCGGTGCTTGATTAAAAATCATTCCCAGTGAGTGAGTATCCCCACAGTGTGACTAGCCCTTTCCTGTGTCAACTTCCCAGGAGCAGACTGGCTCATGCCTCTTCTGTGAGGTCCAGATCCCAAAGGTAGTGATCTTGCCAAGCTGGGGCCATGTGCAGGCCTGTCTAGCAGGCTGGAGGGTCAGCCTCTCAAGGATATGAGTCACTGGGCCCATAGGACACTATGCCCACTACACTCCTGGCACCATGCTTCCTGACAGGGTTAAACTGCTTTGAACCCTAGGGAAGGAGCCAGAAAGCAAGCTTATATGAAAGTGGGTTGGCACTAATACCAACCTCAGCGTAGTATGTTACATGAGCTCTGGCTCAGTGGAGCTGGTATGGGAATCAGAGACCAAGGGCTGCTGGGAGATCATCTCCCTTGTGGGCATGGCCCACATCTCCCAGCTGGGGAGGGGGCAGCCAGAAGCAGCATGTCCCATGCCCCTGTGCCCACTCCAAAATAGACCAAGGGAAGCATGCTCACTCCAGCAGCATGGCACTCCAGAGGATGAGTTTTTATTTTAAAACTTGGTGACTTCTGATCTGAGGACCTCCTTGGCCCAGAGGCCAGGCACCTGGTGTTATGTGTCCTCCACACCTCTAAGGCGGCTAGGTGCAGGAGGGGAGGGACCTTTCAAAGCAGCCCAGGGACAGGAGGAGGAGCACTGCGCAGGAAGGCCAGGGCAAGAGACACATGCTCTCTGTTGTGTGGCTCCACCACCCCACCCTGGACACGCATATTGTACTGAATCACCCCTTTCACTGTTGAGTCAAGTTTACATTCAGTGTTTTCCTTGAGTCAAGGAAGCCAATAGAAATGGTCTCATATTTCTAATCTACTTGCTCATCTACTGCTTGGCAAGACACAGAATGGGATGAGTGAGACAGCAGGCAGGTAACAAAGCCCTCTAAGCAGATGATTCTCAGAACAAATAAAACAGTAAGTCGATGCCAGCTGTGCTGACATCACCCAGGGAGTCCACGAGAGGACTAGCCTCTTGCCGGGCTTTCTGCTGGCCCATGGCCAGGAAGTGGCTTCTTGTCTTCCTACAGGCCCTGCAGAAGCCACCAAGTTACACTGTCATGGTGCCATTGGTAAGGGCCTGGGAAGAAGGCTTTCGGTGACTTCTCTGTGCTCCTTGTCCTTACTTCATAGGAGCAGGGACTGGAGAGGGGCCGGGACTGGCCCAGGCAGGGCTGCAGGATGCTCGCTGCCATAAGTCACACTGACTTCTTCAAGGCTCAGCAGTAAGGGGCTTGAGGTAACCAAAGCAAACAGCCCCTTAGCCAGGCATTCCCTACAATGCTCTGGCCTTAAAACCACCTTTGCCTATTTGTCTTTACCAGTGACAGGTGGCAGGACTGAGTCTCTGCCTGATCACCACCCCCCAGCTCACAAATCATGCACTGTCCCTGTGTCTCTATGCAAATTCATCTTTTATTTCTTTCTTTCTTTTTTGGTACAGGGTCTCACTATAAAGCTTGGACTTGTGGTACTCCTGTCTCAGCCTCCCCAGCACTGGGATCATAGCCATTCGCCACCATGTCCAATTTCTGGGGCTGGCACGGCACACCATGGGTTCTGGGTCTGGCATGGCATGCGGTACTGAAGATCATACCTGTGTCCTTGCGCTTGCCAGGCAGGTGCCTGGACCACCGAGCCATCTCCCCAGTCCTCTGTGGGCATTAATACCCAGACACAGAGCTCCCTGCTGTAGCAGCTGCATGACTGGCAAGCCACCCATTTAACACACCACGCAGTTCATGGCCTGTGGTGGCTGTGGGCGACAGTTCTTCCTTCATACTCGTGTTCGTGCTGGTCCATCCCGGCACACCCATACACACTTAGAGCTTTACCTGCAGGCTTCTTGGCTTCCTGGATCCATCACCCGGCACCACCTAACTGATCACTTTTCCAACCCAAATAAACATAGATTTCTCAATGTTTTGTGTGACAGGCTATGTTCTTCAAAGCGACCAGGCAACATTCCTCTCCCCTTAATCTCAGCATGTCAAGGCTGGCTCTAACCCAGCGTCCAGGGGAAGGCTGTGTTCCCAGGCACTAGCCCAATCTCTCCTGCTTGAGGGGAGATGGTCTTTTGCGTGGCTCCTGCCCCAGCCTTGCTTTGGCCACTAGGGGTCAAGCGGCATAGAGATAAGCTGTCCCTTCAAATCCTGCCACATGGCAGACTCAGAAAAAAAATGAAGTTGCCGTTGCCAGTGGATGGTGACATGGTTGCAGTACTTGTAAGAAGTCGCAGAGCAGGACATGGACCTATCAGACTGCAATCTATGCATTTTATTATGGCACTATGACATCAGCACTGAGCTCCCTATGTATAGTCCATAGTTTGTATCAGCCACCCCAGTGTGACCCTGTCCTTACTTTGGGCCAGTCTTCTTGTGGGTGGTGTCCCAAAAGGTCCAGACCTGAACAGCCACGTTCTGGAAGACCAGACACACTCCCTGGGCTTCCCCCAGTCCTGGTGGAGTGGGCAGCAGAGACCCTGAGAATCGGCATTGTGGAACATGCATTGCCTCGGCTTAGCTTGGCTTCTGCATCGGCACCCTCCCTGCCTTAGGGTCCTCAGCAGCTGTCTCCTTGGCCTGGAAACTCTTCCTCTTGAGGACAACTGTGACAGGTCCATCTGGAAGAGCCTTGATGATGTTCCAGGCTTCAAATCGCGTGAGGCCCTGCGCAGCCGTGCCAGCCAGTTGCAAGATTTCATCTCCAGGCTGGACTGGCTCAATCTGTTCTGAGGCGGCCCCTGAAATTAGGGAGGAGACAACTGTGGGTTCCTTGGGTCGTGGGCATGAGAAAGGCTCTCTCCCACTCTGGTTTCTGAGGAGCCAGGAAAGAGGGCAGCAAGAGAGCATCACCCCACCCTTGGAAGCTTGGTGGTTCTAGAATGACTTCTCATAACTACAGACAGTGTGGACACCAAGTTCCTCTTGAAAAGGAAAAATTGTACAAGATAAATTCTTACCCTTGTAACTGTGACAGTGTACCTGAACATGCAGGACACCTGGTTTACCACTGTACCAGGCTTTAGGAACTGAAGATCATTAATCTACCCTTGGACCTGATGATCTCACCCTACTAGCTAGTCAGAAGAACTGCCGGGCTGTCCTGTCTCTCCTGTGTCCTCCTTTGTATCTCCTCTTGCATTATATAGAAGCCCTACACCAGCAGAGATTAGGTCCCGACATTTTGAGAGTGATCCCAATCCGTACCCACTGACATAAATAAATCTGCCTCCAAATCCTGGATGTCACTTTGATGTTTCTACTAGTTTCTGTACCTGGTACATCAGCCGGGAGGACTGACCAGGCTGACCTCTTTGGTCACCACTCATGGCCCTCATGGACAGAGCGAGGACCTCTCCAGGCCCTGAAGGGAAGGCACGACCTTGAGGTTTCTCGAGCCCTTTCAGAGGTCTGCAGGAAGATTCCTGGCTCCCTGCTCGAGCAGCTCACACTGTGTGGCTGTCTGTCTGGCTGTCTTCCAGTCGGTGTGCCTTCCTGCCTGCCTGATTCTGGTACAACCTACAGAAGAGCCCCCATTAGTCTATCAGTCCTGCTCAGCTTGAGCATAAGTAGAGCTTGATCAACTCTTGTTAGTTAAGGCCACCCTTGAGGGAAGGGGATCTGGAATGTTTAACCCCTAAGTACCTGCTGGATATATGTGGGGGTGAGTGGAACAGACAGCGTAAGCATCAGGATGCTGTGTTTGTGCACCAAGACTGGGAAGCCAGAGAGATGACTCAGGGCCGGGGAGATGGCTCAGTAGAATAAGCACTTCCCTGGCAAGTGCAAGGACCAATCCCTGGTTCCACCAAAAAAAAAAAAAAAAAAAAAAGACTGGGAAGCACTGGTCACAGTGACTGACTGGGCCCTCACCTGTGGTCCCCTGGTGACTGACATATGGTACAATAGAGGCCTCACACTCTTCTAAGCTAAATCAGACCTAAGTCCTCATGAGGGGTACAGTCAGGCAAACATCTGAATGGTCCCTCTCTGAGGGGCACCCACCCTTTGCCTGTTGCACCATCATTAAAGGGTACACAAGATACATTGTAGGGAGACAGAAGGGGAACAAATTAGCTAAAACCCACAGTCCCTGGCTGTAAGAAAATGGACTTTTATGGAGTTAAAAATAAAACCAAACTGCTCCCTGCATCTCAATGAACAAAAAAGGAAAGCGAGGCCCATTTTCCCTGATAATCCCGCCTTGGTACCTTGTTGCTGCCAACACCTATAGCCTTACTATCCACTCCCAATTCATCTTCCAGCCAACTGAGCTGGTTCCAGCTCGCCACTGCCTGGCTTCAGCCATGGAGACCCTCCCTCCAGAGCCTGCTGCCTACACCCCTATCCTAGTGAGGTGGATCATCTAACACCCACCCAAGAAGATGATCAACAGTTGCTTCTGAGGTCCACATTTTGACTGAGGACAAACTGCACCGTCAGCCCTGACAGATGAGTTATGCTCTTCCCTGTCAGGCATGAATAGATCGGGCAGACCAAGCTCTATCAAATTGGGTCCCTGAGAGCCCACAGTCATTACAAAAGTTGGGGGCAAACCTGTGATTTTCCTAGTAGTCAATGGAATAGAACTCTCTCAAAAAGGTACCGTCACTGGGGCACCTGGGACTCTTGGCTCTTGCCCTTTTCCACCAGGCACAGACTTAGAGCATGGGAAGACATGTCAGCCTCCTTCTCATGTAACCCTGCACATTCGACTTTGTTCTCTGAGAGTAAGATACCTGCATCAGCCAGAGATAGATAACCACAATGCTGAAGTTCTGAAAACTCTCCGCCCAGAGTTACAGACTAAGGATTCACCTCTGGGCCTGGACATCGACCATGCCACTTCACCGTGACCCCCATTACTATCAGATGTCGCAGAAAGCACAAGCAGGAGTCCAGCCACACACTAGCCTGATGGGCTGCTAATCACCTTGGACAAGATCTCTGTGCTGTCAATGCAGAAAAGACGCCTTCCTATGCTTATGATGCTCCCATAAGCCCTTCAACTGGGAAAATCCTGAGCTAAAAAGCCAGTTCACTTGGACTCCATTACCATAAGGAGGTTAAAAACTCTCCTACCTTGGCTCTGTAACTGTGCCCTGCATGATAAGAATGCCACCCTAGGGGCTGGCGAGATAGCTCAGTAGTCTAAAGCACCTGCTTAGGCAAACTTAGGCAGGCTCAGGAGACAGTGGTTCAATCCCTGGCACCAAACGCCGCACTAGCCCCGCCCTCAGGGCAGACTGAGCTGGCCAAAAATGAAAAGAGAGAGGAAGCCATCCTAGTTATCAAAACAAACCCATGAGAGGCTCTTAGATTCAGCCCAAGCCAGAAAAACTTCCTCCTGTTCTGCTTGAAGATCCTGTTCAGTGCTCACTGAGGTAAATACATTTGCCTCCAAGTCCTGGATGTCATTTCACTAGTTCTGCTTGCCATTAAACTTTCTCTATGGCTCTTGAAAGCCTGTGACCCAGAGGGAGGAGATTTAGGCTCTAGCTTGAAAGACTTGGAAGCTGGGTCTTCCTTAAGTAGTGGTGGACACAGAGTCAGGATCTTACCCCCTTGTCCCCTTCTCCTGGGATCATTAGCACTGGGTGGGGTGGGAAGGGCAAGGGGGCAAGCAGTCTGCATGCGGCTCCTGGAGAAGACCTCTGTGTCTGCATAGAAAGGACACATTATTCTCCCCAAGCTGCATGTGGAAACATGCAGCTCTTTATATTGTATATATTTTACTGTTTATATTTATGGAAAATCTCCCATTCACTTGACACCATGATCTTACAAAGAGTGAATAAGAGCAGAAAATAATAATGATCAAAATGAAAATATAGCTAAGTGTATTGGCAGTGGCTGCACCAGGTGTGCTGCACATGTTCTGTGCTTTTGACAGTGACATAGGAGGTATGAACAGTCTGTGTTCCCATCTCACAGGGAGAAGACCAGCGATGCAAGTAACTGGGGCTCAGTGCTTCAGAGCCACCTGCTGGGGAGATGTGGGTTTGAACCTAGACTTTCTAGCTCAGCCCTGTGATGAAGACCACTGTGAAGGGGCTCTGAGCAGGACTCAATGTTAACCAATTGGCCTTCTGCGTTTACTTGTCTGACCAAGGCCTCAGCTGCTTGTCTGGAGATGGGTAGCAGACTCATAAGAAGTGAACTTTCATAAGTCACTGGTTCCAACTGAGACCTATATTGGTGGGTGAATCCAGGACACCTCAAAGGACAAGATAAGGCTACAAGTAAGGACACCTGGCTCTAACTTCAGTTAACTAGATAAAGACTATAGCTGCAGGCATCTCATTCCTGGATGCAGACCTACCTGGAGATAGCATAGTTCTCCTAAAGTACCATGATGTCTTACTTGGAGAAGCCCTTTAGCAGACTTCCAAAGTCCTTGTAAGGTCCTGCTCAGATTCCCACCTTCCTTCAGTATTCACTTCCTTTGTTTGATAATTAAATGAATATGGGCCACCCAGAGATCTTTGTCTTAGTGCCCAGAGAATCTTGATTCTGTTAGTGGGTTTTTGGTCTTCCTGGGGCCCTAAAAATCATACAACTTGGCTCATTTATTTAACCTTCACCATACACTCATTTGGGAGGTTTGGGGCCTGAACAGTCCATAATAACTAAGGAATAATACTAACTCATTAGCCCTGGGTGGCCAGATGGCCAGGATGGAGAGTATAGACCCACAGCCAGGCCACCAGGGTGGCAGAGCTAATTAGATCCAAGGCTCCTGATCCTGGACCCATGTTCAACTTTGAGGTTAAAAGTTTTTTCTCAGAATTAGGGTTAGCATGGTTTCAGGGGCAACCAGCACACAGCCCTCAGTCTCCCCTCAGGGTTTTCACAGTTGCCATACAGCTTTGCCTAACACAGCCAGCTCACCATGGGCCCAGGGGGGACAGAGACCCTTTGAGTCCCATCCTAGGAGCCTCAGACCCCCCACCCTCACTATTTCTTTTTGTGTACAGAGAGCTACTGGCCCTGAGGGGAATGGCCCCAAGCAGACCCAGGATGCACTCCAGGCCACCTGACTCTCTGTCTAGTGCTCCTCACTCCCTTGCTCTGAGAGGTTCCAACCCATCAGCTTCCAGCTCGAGGGACAGGAAGGAGTTGAGGTGACCACTCGTGATTTCAAAATCCAAATCCAAGTAACTCCAATGTGAGACTGATTTACACCCCAATCCATGATGAACAAAATATCAAATGTAAATATAAGCAAGACAGAATTATGATCAGGAATAAAATAAAACCAAGCAGGCCATGTTGTATAATACTAGGTTTGGACTCTATTTAAGACTTTGCTATTTTGTTCATCATGAATTATTTATTTATTTATTTTGTATTTTAGGGAAGGGTCTACAGGGTGTTCAGGGTCTCACTACTAGATTGGACTCATAGTGATCCACCTGTTTATAGCCTCCCAAGAGCTGGGATTACAGGCGCATGTCACCACACCCAGTCTCAATTGCCATCACAGCACACCCCAGGGGTGGGGCTGGCATGGCAGGCCTGGGGATCGAACCGCCAGTCCCTGCACCAGCTTGCAGGAGCTTTAATCTGCTGAGCTACTTGGCTGGTCCCATCATGAATTTTAAAAATTTTGATTCCTTAAAAAATATTACATGGGAATTGGATAGAACTTGCTAACTACATGTGGTGCTCCCTGGACTCTGGTGCCTGGGGTTGGGCACTCACCTGGTCCTGGTCCTGCCCAATGGGACCAAACCAGCCCGAGTCACTATGAGAGCCCAGAATCACAGAACAAGTAAGGAGATGTCTGAGCAAAGGAAAATAGGTTGAAAAAGCAAAACTGAGTCTCAACGGACACAGCTCGAAAGAGGACATAGGTCACAGAGAAGCCAGTGAGGCCCAAAGGCTTCAAGCGCCTTCTGGGCCTGTCCCATGCCCACAACCAGGGGCCACACAAACATCAGACTACTCCGTACCTTTGAAAATCCTGTTGACTGTGAGAGGCTTGTCTCCGTGCAGGGAGCCTTTCCCTCCTTCCAGGCTGAAGCCCAGCCCTGCAGACGTCTTCTCCAGGGTTACTGTGTAGACCGTGGCCTCTGCAGCTAAAGAAAAAGGGGCTGTGTAAGAGACCCCTTCTCTCTTGCCACACACACCTTGGTTGCTGCCCAGTACACACACTGTCCCCCCAGACACTTCTCAGCAGCCCACCAGCACTGGCCCCATGTGATCAAGGCTATGTGGCCCCCCAGGGCTCCTCAGCTGGGACAACTTACTTAACTCCACAGAAACATCACTGGCTGTAGAAACTGGCGTTGCAGAGTCAGTGGAGGAGTTCAGGTCTGGTGTGGCCTCTGGCATTATCCGCCGTGTGACAATCACAGCTTGTCTTGGGTCGCGAGCTTGGCGGAGGATGGTCAGGGCATCACTGTGTGTCATGCCTTTGAGGGACTTGCCGTTGATAGAAAGGACCTCACTGCCCCTCTGAATCGTCCCTTCCTGGGAGGCCAGCCCATTTGGAAACACTCTGTGAACCTTCAAAAGCCAAAGAAGTCAGAACCAGGAGCCACCCACACGGTGCACTTCCTGAGAGAGGAGGATCTGGACCAGCCCAGCTAGTTAGCCAGCCCTGGAGAACTTCTAAGCTAAAGAAAGATGCCGGGGAGATGGCTCAGTAGAATAAGCGCTTACCTGGCAAGCACAAGGGTCTGAGTTCAATCCCCGGTTCCGCCAAAAAAAAAAAAAAAAAGGAGAAGAAGAAGAGGAAGGAGAAGGAGGGAGAAGGAGCGAGTGTGAGATAGTGAGTTGGATTCCTGGAAAGGAAGGAAGGGAGGGAGGGACGGGGGAAGAAAAGAAGGAAGGAAGGAAGGAAAGGAGGACTGGTCCTATCCTAGGTCAGGGTGGCTGCCACAGTGCCTAGCTGGGATCACAAGAGCCATGGCCAGACAAGCCCTCAGAGCCCTCCCAGCAGCTCTGCCCTGCAGTCTCCCCTCACATCCAGGACAGGCTCAGGCCCGGCCCGCCCTCAGTCAGCATTTCCTCAGCCACAGCCCTGAGCCTGGATTTTATGGTGTGTCTGTATAAGAAAAGACTTCTAAGATTAAAAAACTTAGGGAGCACTGTATTAAGCAAAAACTTTACAAATACGTATTCTTTAGGGATAGCAGAAGTTCTGCAATGTGGATATGCAGCCCTGGTCTCTAAGCCCAGGCATAGAAAAGGGTGTCCCTGACCCTGGGCCACAGTGGCTGTGCTTTCCATAGAGAAATGCACCTGAAGGATGCCTCTGAGGTAGCCCATCCTAGGCACTCCAGACATTTCTAAAGCGTCCTCCAAGGAATCCTAATTCTTCAGCTCCAGCCACCTCTTGGTGCCCTTCTTATAAGATCTATGGGACTTAAAAAAAAAAAAAAAAAAAAAACCTCACAGCCTTGATTTGGCCTCTTAAATGATATAATCTTCATCATGATTAAGGGGATTGAATGACCCCTCCTGGGCCTTCATTGGTTTACGGTCATGATGTGTTTCTCCACATGGTTTTGGTGACTGAAAAGAAGATTTCTATTAGGTGATAGACATGCTTAGGATCCCCAGCTGTAGGACCCAAGTGTGATTCACAAACGCCACAGAAGCTCCAAAAGAAGTGCGAACACTTTACCTTCTTTAATATGGGAAGGTTAATTCAGACAACAGGTCACTGAGGGCCCGGAACGCACTTGGGGGTGGCAGTGCTCTGCGTCAGTTCCCTTTTCATGAGTTGAGAAAGGACAAAAACAGCTCAGACACGGAACGAGAAAGAGGAAGTGTTTGTACACATGCTCGGCCGACACGACCGCTTCCTCTGGGCTGCCGAGAGGCTGCAGTGTCACCGGGTTGGCCGGCCAAGCCGGGTACAGAGGAGTCACTACTCAAGCGCAGAGGAAAAGCCCCACAGTGATGTTCTCACAAGCACGCTTTCTTTTCTCCCTGTCAGACAGAAAGTGACCTCCACCCTCAGGAAACTATTGTAATGTCAGCTCCCTGTAGTAGGAATTGCGCTCGTGTATTTTATGTGCTCCTCAGTGGGACAGCACTGGCCACGAAATCAAGGAAGCTGCTGCTCAACCCGAGGCTGATAGACGGGTCACTATCGCAAGGGGCTGTGGGCCACTTAGCGCTGGCCTTAGTGCGTGGGAGGACCTGTTTTCAGCTGGGTAAGAAGACTCAGATGAGGCTGCACAAAAGATTCCTCGAGACACACAGGCGGAAGTGACAACAGTGCGTGCAGTTGTGAGGAGGAGCAGCCCAGTCCATGACAACCCAGGGTAAACGAACAAGTGGGCCAGGGCCACGTGGACTGAGGCAGGGGCTGAGGATGCTGGCCAGTGCCGGCCAGATTGCACTGAAATAGATACACAGCTCCAGGTTCTCATGGGTGCTGTGTGGACAGGGGCTGGCCCCCGGGACCTGGTGTAGGTCTCTGCACAAGTCCGGCCACTGCCTTCCCTCCAGCCAGGGCTACTGAACTCAGCCAGTGAGCTCAGCCCACAGCTGTCCAGGTGGGCAAACTAGGAGGCTACTTCCATCCCTGGGCTCTGCCTCCCCAGGCTTCTTTATCTCCAGACCTGTTTGCCACATGCTATGGCAGGGTCCTGTGGCTCTCCAAAATGACCTGCAGTCAAATATCATTTCCATCTGCATCTCAGTGACCACTTTCATTTTCTAAGATATTCCTCCAGTATCCTCAAAAATTTTGACATTAGGGCTCCAACCATGTAAAATTCTGATTTATAATTGGTCAGATCTGGTATAAAATGGAATCACACACACACACACACACACACACACACACACACACACACACACAGAGCTGACAGGTGACTGCCTATCTGGTGACTGGACATGGTCTATATAGAGACACCTATTTTGTTTAATTGAGGATCATGATGAGGATTGAATCAAAGGTCACGTAGCTCTGTGTGGTGGCTCTGCTTCGAGATGCCATCCTGACCCCTGCCCAGTGGCATGGCTTGTGCATCCCTCTGCTTCCCAGTTTAATCCCCTTCCCAGCACATCTGTCCCAAGATGTGGTGCCCTCCATCATAGGTCACGTACCGTGATCAGCTTGTTTTCTAGATCCGCTCCTCCTGCCAAGCTGAACCCTAGGCCGGCACCTTCTTCCTTGTGCAGGATGGTGACATGGATGCTGTCCAGTTGCTGTGGATGGCATACACACGTTAGTAACCATTTCCCGTGGGCAGCACAAGCCACCGAATGACTGCCTGAGCGTCAGACCGATCTGCTTATTGATCACCAGCCCAGCCAGGCAGGCTCCAACCCCTGCCACCTCCACAGGTCTAGTTTCAGTTCCATCATCTGTGAAGGGAAAACTGTACTTTCAGATGTGACAAGAAGCTCAGACGGAAGCAACTGCACATAAAATGTTTCTGTCCCTCTCTTGCTCACCCACATTCACGTGGACTGGGCCAGGTTGCCCTCATGTCCCTGTGTGGTGGACACCACAGCTCGGCCACGTCACCACAAGACTGGGCACACTATAGAGCGTTCAGTGACAACACCCAGGGGTTATTGCTGTGTGTAGGATTTGACTGCTTCTTTTCTTTTATGAGCACAGCAGCAGCAGTGAGAGAGCCCGGATCACGTACACACATATGCACACATGCACATACATGCAGGCACACACAGCACTTCCCGGGCTGGATATGTGCTCAGGACAACCCTCTCCACATGCAAAGCAGGATTCCTGATCCTGCCTGCAGCTGGTCTCCTGCCACAGCTCCTCCAGGCGGTCACTTAAGTGGAGGAAAATGAGCTGCTGTGAGTGGCGGGAGCTACAGAGCTAGAGACACATCTGTCAGAAGGGTCAGTGACTGCTGGAAGACGGACACCCAGGCTACCAGCACATTCCCTCAAGGAAAAAAGTCCAAAGCCCAGGTTTTGGTTTAGGTTTTATAATGTGGAATTCAGTAATTTACAACAATCACAAGAGAGATTAGAAGAAATATGCTTGCATAAGGGCCGGTGAGATAGCTCAGCAGACTAAGCACCTGCCTAGGTGAGCCCAGGGACTGGGGTTCGATCCCCAGAACCACATGCCGCACCGGCTTTGCCACCAGATGTGCTGAGCTGGCCACTGAGTCCGGGCATGGTGGCGCATGCCTATAATCCCAGCACTGAGAAGGCTGTAAACAGGAGGATCAATACAAGTCCAATCTATGTAGTGAGACCCTATAGATCCTGTACTAAATACATTTTTTAAAAAATATACCTGTGGGCTTACCAGCCCTGGGCTGCAGTTTCTCACCTGGCTGCTAGGTATGAAGTTCTATCAGAAATCATGTGCAGCTGGGTCTGTGTTCCTTTGAGTTGGGGCCCAGAAATGATTCGTGTTGAAGGTGCTTCCTGGCCCAGCTCTAGCCTATGTCTCCCAAGTCCTCTGTCTAGAACTCAGAAAGTTTGGTGGAAGAAGAGACAGCCAACCCCAATGTGCTGGGCACCACAGGTAATGTGTGTTATATGCTTTGCCTTCCCTTATTTCATTTGTGCTGAGTTGGGCTTCAGAGGACCATGGTCCCCATACAAGTGACAAAGGAGACAAATGGCCTGGGCATCTCCTGTCCATCAGATATAATTACACCTTTGGCCTCAGAATGACCATGGTGCTTTGGATCATGAACGTTACTGTTTGCAAACAATTCAGTTCTCAAACAAAAATGTTTGGCAAAGTTTTGACTTTGTTTGCAAACTCCATCATGCAACAAATACTACCATGGCCGTCCTTCCACCCAAACGCAAATATGGCTTCTTTTCCAGAATCATGGAACAAATTAAATTCATGAGTTGAAGCCACACTGTACATCCCTCAGACCTTGTCATATAGAAAAGGAGGCAGCTCTCCTTGTCTTTTGACCCCAATCTGCATCACTCCTGCATGCACAGGAGCCATGTGTGGAACCTGGGCAGCCTGCCCACATCCACTGCCAACCTAGCTCTGCCTGCTTCTTCTGTCCACACCTTCAGCCCACATGTCCTCAGGCTGTACTCAGCAAGCATGTGGGAAGCAAGGCTTCAGGATGATGTGGGTGGAGCATGGGGCACTTGTGAGTTTGTGGCGGAAGTCATGAAAGCTCAAAGTGAGAGCTCTTGTGGCGCCACATGCTGACTATTGGTAGTATGCTGCCAGGCAGCCTTGGGACGGGAGCAGCACTGAACTTGAACTGAGACAAAACACCTAGGTGAGGGCCAGGGAGATAGCTCAATGGACAAAGTGCCTGCTTTAGTAAGCTCAGCAACCAGGGTTCGATCCCCAGTGCTGCGTGCTGCACTGGACCCATCCCTAGGGCACACCAGCAACAGAGTCCAGAAGTAGTGGTGCACACCTGTAATCCCAGCACTGGGGAGACTGAAAGTAAGAGGATCACCACGTTTGATTTGCATAGTGAGACCCCGTACCAAATAAATAAATGAAAAAAAAAAAAAAACCACCTAGCTGCTGAGAACTTCAGCCTCACCTTTCTCACTTAAAAATGGACAAAAAGATGTAAGAAATTGGTGTGTTAGAAGGACTCTCTATTTTCAAGTGGAAAGTCCTCCTGTGGCACAAAGGACCCAGGTGTGTAGGCAGCCTAGGCAGCTGCCTTGTCAAGCCTGCAGGTCTGGGGTTTCTTGAGTTGCTCCCCCTTGAGCTCTCCTGAAACCTGTGGTGACGACACAGCCAGCCCACGTGGTCCTGCCACTCTACGCACACACAGAGGTCTGTACCTTCAAGGTTGCTTCATCCAGAACTCTCACTTCCTCGATGAGTGTCTCCAGCTCCTCTGTACTCAGCAGGGAGATGACTGACTGGCTGGGCTGAGAGGAGCTGTGGTCCCCATCCTCGGCTTCCCTGGGCTCGGCGAGACCTTCTGTGTATTCTCTCAGCTCTGAAAGACTTCGTGGGGAGTACGAATGACAGTATTAGTAAGAGCTACTGTTCATTGCATAATGCTTATTGCTTAATTCCAGGCAGGATCATTCTATTTTTTGATACAGTAAATCTATTTCTCAACAGCATCAGAATAGTAAATAAGATTATCAGATTGAGAACTACATTGAATCCAGAGCGAAGCCCAGCTCTGCAGGAGGAACCACAAAGCACTTCAGCAAGAAGGGAAACTGAGGCTGAGCCTGGAAGGAACCTGGTCAGCAAGTTGGTGCCTAAGCAGGGAGTAGAACCCAGATGTCCTGGCCCCCTGTGGAAACCTCTGGAAAACTTGTCAGGGGGCAGTCCTGTGTCTCCGCTTCCCAGCTCTCCTGATGGGTATATGATGAAAACATCTCAATTTGGAAGGCAGAGATGTAGCACACACTCGAGCACATGCAAGTGTGCACACACATGCAAAAGGAGAGGAGGAGCAAATTTCTGGCTAGTACATCAGAGACAATTTTGAAGTGAAGCAAAGAATTAGAAAAGAAGGAAAATTGCAAAACCAAATCAAGAAGCGAGCATGGAGGAACCCTGGCAGACACTCACTTGAGGGAGAACCCGGTGTCCACGGCTGCAGACTCGGAGCTGCCAGTGGCAGAGTCTTCACCAGGAAGTGGCTTTGGAGCATCCCCTTCCTTGGGGTTGCAGGCTGGCTGGCTGCAGGAGACAGAGGAGGGGAGGCACAGCAGGGATTTCATGACAGCCGAGGACACGTGGCTGCTGATGGAGTAGAGCTTGCTGGTCTTCTCGTCCAGCAGCCTTGCCTCGCAGGACTGGGTCCGGGTCAGGGGGAAGCTCCGTGCTCGCTGACTGGGCATCTTGAGGATGGGAACTGGAGTGTCTTCCCGCTGTGTGCCCAGCAGTCCCGTGAGAGGGTCAGGGGCCGTGGAGACAGTTTTCAGAGCAGGCTGCTGCCTTATGGGCAGGGACGTGGCCACACTCGTGGTGCTGGTCTCTGAGGCTGCAAGGAAACCTAGAGACATTGGTTCCTGCCCTGGCTGCCTGTGCTCGGCAGAGGTCGGAGCCTCTCGCACCAACAGTCCAGAAGCCCGGCCTCCCTCTTGCTTCCCAGGGGGCCTGGGAGTCTCCTTGGGGGAGGACTGGAGGCTCAGTCTCTGGACACCTCTATCAGGCCCCTGAGAGGAGCCAAAGGTTTCAAAGGAGCTGATTCTCTGCTTGATGGAGGAAGTGGCCCGGGGGAGTGGCTCGGGAGACTCCCTGGAAGCAGGAATATGTTGAGTGGATGAGGCTGAGTCAGGAAGCCGTCTCAGGTCTGCAGCACGAGTCCTTAGGCCTTTCAAGCTCTGACGAAACCAAGCTGGCTTGGGGGCCACAGGGGGCCCCTTCTTCACATTGCTGCTGTCTGTTGACTTATAAACTCTGGGTGCACCATTGGAGGTTTCCAACCTGGCTGGAGTTCCATCCGGGAGACTCTGTGTGCCATTTTCACCCAGGCTGACGCTGGGCTGTAGTGGCATGTGGCCATGGCTGTCACTCATGATGGGGCTGAATAGGCTTTTGATGCAGTCAGAAATTCTAACCCAAGGGTCTTCAGTGGTGGTGTCAAAGCTGCAGTTCATCCGAGCCTGCCTCTTCAGCAGCCGGGGTTTGCTGGGGGACCCTGGTGTCACTAGAAAGCAGAAACAAAGCTTGGGTTGTGCATTACACCTCATGACAACCTGTCTCCCTCAACTCTAGCTTCAAAGCTGAACAGCAAGGACTTTGGAAGAGGAGCTGAGCAGAAGGGGAGACACCCAGATGGGCATGGCTGGGTATATGTTTGACTGAAGGGACCCTCACAGGACAGGAGACCTGGTGGGGTGCTCCAATATGAGAGGTGTTTCTAGGAAATTTCTGGCCCAACCTGAAGCATTTTACACTGGAGGATCCTAGCGTTTAAGAAGGGTAGGAATTCTTATGCAGAGGCAAGAGAAAACCCCACATCCCCTGACTGCCCACTCCCCCTTGACGTAAACTCCCACGTAGCTCATTTGAGATGTAAAGGACAAATAATTCTCTTATCTTTTAAACGTTTAAACCAAAGTTCTCACCTGGCTGCCATATTTGGACTGCCATGTCTTTGTGAGGCAAGGTGACCACACCTGCCTGTAGAGGGCGCTCTGGCCAACCCAGCTCTCTGCTCTTCCGCCTGGGCAGAGGCTCCTGCCTGCCTGCCTGCCTGCCTGCCTGCCTGCCTGCCTGCCTGCCTGCCTCTGCAGTCCTATGAGCTTGCTAGAGTGCCTATATTCAGGTCATGGGCTAGCTCACTCTACAGAGTAGGTTTTGTCCATCTGAAGAGCTGAAAAGGTGTCAGGTCAAGAAATCTAGGTGACACTGATTTTCAGCCTTGACTGTGCACTGAGGGTCCACCCCTAGGTTCTGGTGAGACAAGACTGAGATGCAACCTGAGCCCAGGGTGCTGGGACCTCAGGCTTGCCCTTTACCCTAGGGACAGCACAATGTCATCTTTTGGAGAAGCCAGCGTTGCCCTGACATCCAGTCTGCACAAATAGAGAAGACTCTGCATAAATAGAGAAGACTCTGCCCTAGACTCTTTTCTAGAGATGCCTGAGGTCTACCCCAAGTAGCTGTGTGGTCTTGCCATGCTCAGCTTTTGCCTGGTCAAGAGCATGTCGCTCTGACTATGTGCTGGGGCCAGAGGTGCATGATGCTGGAATACATCCTAAGTTAAGAGCTCTGGTCACTCCTGTCCTGTCTCAATGTCAAAGAAGCAAACAGTGTCCACCCTACATGATACAGAGTGAAGTTTTGCAGGCCCCAAAGCCCTGGGTGGACACAGGAGGCTGAGATTTTAGCCAGTGAGTCCAGCCCCCTCTGTCTGCTTCTATACGAATAAACTGCTCAGCTGTACGGGGCCACTGTGCTGAGAATCCAGGGTAATGCTCCCACAGGCAAACTCTTTGCAAGCCGGGTGGGGACCAAGATGTTCCTCAATTGGGATGACTAAGGGAAGCAAGTGGCAGGTGCCTGCTTGGTGACATGTGCTGAATCTGTCTATTCCCGATATCCCTTAGCTCTCCAGGGGCTCTCATGAGATTCCCTGCAGTGTTTCTCAAAGAGGCTGAGGCTTGTAGTGTACACACTTATGTCTTTGCTGTAGGGGGAAGCTCCTCATTACAGGAAATGATCCATCTCCTTCTCTCCCAGCACCATGCCCAGAGCCTCCCAAATCTGGCATTTCATGTAAGTAGCTGAATTAAAGCACATGTTGGAATTCTAAGTGATATACACCTTGCCAATGAGCCAGTGAAGGCTTTAAAGACGAGCTACACAAAGGCATGGAGAATGATGCATCGATACAGGATTGTTTGCCTCAAAATCCTGGAACCCCGTGCTCAAGGTACTCACGTCATGTCTCAGCACTGCCAGGTGGATTATGTGGACACACCCTTGCTGCCCACCTCTTGGAAGAGGTGACCACCAACAAAACCCACATCTCATCTGCTTTCCCTACTCTGTGTTCTGACTTGGAAGTACTACACATGGCTGGTACCAGGCAAGGGCCGCCCCGGGGGCCTTGTGTCTTTGACCTCTTCCCATGGCCCAGTCTCACCTGGATCGGCCGCCATCATTCCACCACCCCTCCCCTGCAGTAATAACAGTTCAGCCAGGAGGTTCCCTTCCCCCACCCCCCAGCCCAACCACCAGCCAGCACAAGGCAGACTCTCACTCTCACCAGAGCTCTCTGCACCCGCCTTCCCTTCAGGAAGACCTCCGTTCAGGCTCACCTGCGCCGGCTCTCCTCCCCGGCTCACCCTCTGAGGAGGACGGGGCCTGAGGGCTGACTCCAGGTCCTGGGCAGACAGCAGCAGTGCAAGGGGCTCTCCCCGTGGTGTCTTCCGGTGGCAGTGGCAGTAGCTCGCTGCCTTCCTGTGGTGTAAACAGGAAACAAGACTGTGTCAAAACGGTAGCCTCCAGCTCAGCTGTGAGAAAGCGAGGCGGGCTTTGATGAGGGCTGGAGAGCTGCTGTGAAGCCGCCTTCAATGGAAGAGGCACCAGCAGCCAGGTGAAGAGGTCCTTCCCACTCCCCCTGCTGCACGGCCAGGGCACCCCCCAAGCACCTGACATGTCACCCGGCTCACTGCAGCCTAACATCTACAGGAGATCCCAGCTCTCTGTGGTAAGGACAAGAGGCTCAGGCTGTGGAGGCACTTGTGCTTCTTCATTTATAAGCACATGGCGGCCAGTGACACTCCCAGGAGGGCACAGAGCCTTGTGGAGTCAGGTGGCAGAGGACATGTCCTTGAGTTAAGGTTGGAACACTCAGGGACACACCTGTGGACTGCTTTCTCCACCATCTCTCAGGATTAGACCCTCAGTAAGCAGGCGGCAAAGCAAGACGTCCCTGGAGCCCACGCTGGGCTCCTCACTGTACCCTGGGCTGCCGTCCCTCACTGTGGAATTGTTCTCCCCACAGGGTGGGATGCAGCCTCATGTCCTTCCTCAGATAGCCTAGGAGGAGCCGGGCCAGGCACCAGGGAAGCAGGCAGAACTTTGGCTGGTCACCTGGTATAAGCGTGGGGCCAAAAGCACCAGTTCTGGGCCAGAACTTCACCAGAGAAGTGCTCTCTATCTGTTCTTACAGGAAAATATTGTCTCAGGCAGAAAGTCAGAGGGGAAGTATTCCTGGGAACGGCCACTCAAGTAGAACACCAGCCCAGAAAAGGCGAGGAGGCACCATGAGACGGGCTCCTGGAGGTCGGGTCGTGTGCAGAAGGAGCCGCCCTGGGCTGAGCTGGGCTCCGCACTCTGGCAGCTCCAGAGTCACGTGGTGCCAGGCACGTGGCGGGGCTGCAGCCTTCCTCGCCAACAGGTGGGAGAGGAGAGCCACATGCATCATTTGTGACTAAAAAGAGATGGCAGACACCCCTGGTCTGAAATGTACCATCCACAGGGACAACGAACGTCCTGGGAGAAGGGAAGTTTGTGACAGCCCAAAACGCATTCACAAGTCACTGCGGTGCCTCGAGTTCCCTATCGTAGCACTGAGCTTTAAGAGTGCATCTGAGAAATGCTGGGCTTCAGCCAAGCTGGAGGGATCTTTGGGTTTCTCCAACTCATCCTCTGAAAAGGCAAAAGGCAAGGTTGACTGTGATATCTGATGCTTAAACTCTTAGCCCGAGGGTGAGCAAGATTCTCAGCACACCAGAAATATAATTTCACCCAGCAGGAAACTCTGTAAGGCAGCATCTGTCTGTACCCACAGGTTGTTGGCATTTGGCTAAGCAGATGCAGCTGACGTCAGCCATGCCCACCAGAGCCGCTGCTGTCAGTCCTAGAACAGACACAAGCGCACTCGGACTTCTGATCGGCTCATCCAGTATGACATCCTCTTCGTGGGAGGTTTTTAAAAATAGCGCATGATGTAAATTTGTTTTACACAAGTGTTTCTCTGGCAAGTGCTTCCTGGGACCGTGCTTGGTGGATGAGGGAGGAAGTTGGGAAAGAAGGAAAGGGCTGGAGGTGTGATTAAGCACAAAAAGGAGGGATCACGTTGTTGTCTTTGAAATACAAGTGATAGTGGGCACCGATTTTCTAAAAGGGAGAAAAGTGTTGTTCGATTGAGGAAAATATCCCAGAAGTCATTTTGGTTGTGAAGTGTTATAGGAGACGGAGCATGACAAAACTCCAGGGGGAAGTGGGCAGGACCTGTCAATCACAGGATGCCAGGGCAACCTGAGAACCCGGATGTGGGACTTCCGTGTGAGATGTGGCCAGCCCGAAAGGCTTGGCCTTTTATGAAAGCAGCTATCTGTGTGAGTGTGCAAAGCAGCCAGTGGCAGTGTTTCTCCGATGCAGCCGATACGTTTATTTTGGCTTTTATCCTCTTCTCTTTATTAGGCCCACTCTGCAGAGCTGCTTTCTCCCATGCCTGTTTCCCCTGCACTTTTCAAAAAACCTTTGGCACCATTATTAGCTTGTCTCATCCAATTCTTCGTTCGAGGCAAGAAGACCTGCAATACCTTTGATTGGTGAGCCATTTATAAATGAGTTACCCTGCAACAGAGGTGAGGTCCCCTTGAGTGACAGTGGGTGGACAGAGTCAGGGCACATCTGTGGCCACTCAGGAAAGCTCTCAGAACGCTGGGGAGAAGACTTCAGAGGAGCAAGGGAGGGCGGGAAGGGCAGGAGGGAGGACAGGCAGCTGCTCAGTGGGCACAGAGGATGACATCCTCGGAGGGGCCAAGGACATTTCAGGAATGACATCCAGCAGATCACTTCCTATTTCCTGTGCACTGTAACCCTTTCCTCGAGCCCCCAGCGCTGAGTACTCGTATCTGTGCTGCATGGGCGTTGCCAGACAGACTATAGGAGCTGGCTGTGCGGGTCCCATGGGACAGTGAGGGGGAAGGGAAGGGGCTCTGTGCAACCAGGACCCTGGGGGTGGTGCCACAGGTAGAGGACAGGAAGAAGGAGGGACAGGTGGCTCCCAGGAACAGCAGCACTTCCTGGCCTTCTCTGCAGTGTTCACTTCCTCCTACCATCAGCTTACTTGGGGATAGTCCCTGCCCTGTTCTGGCCCCACCTGGCCAGGTGGCCCATATCCCCATCTGGGGACGGCTCCTTTCTTCCCTGTAAGGTCTGGAAGGGAAAGGTAAAAGTCTGGTTTCTCAGTGGGCAGGACCCATTTCAGAGCTATCCTTTGAACTCAGGTCTCAGCCCCAAGGCAAAGGAATGCTTGGTGAGAGGAAGAGAGACAGGTCCTCCTGACATCTACCCAGGGCTCTCCAGCTGCATCCTGCCTGTACCCCACTTCTTGCTCCCTCTGTGTGTGCCCTCCACAAATGGCACCCTCGCCCAGCTGACTTGTTCCCACCACTTGGGATTTCAAACACTTTACTCCCACCGAACCTCAGCGCAGCCTATCCCAGGGGACCTCCAGAAACATCTGTCTACCCACATGCCTGGACCACACCTCAGACTTCTGCAAGGCTCACCTGAGTCAGGGTACTTGGATGGACTTGGAACATAAAGCCCACATCCCAGCAGTCAGCCTGCCTCCTGTGAGGAGCCTGACAGAAGGATCGGCACAGTGTTGCACACTGCAGCCCAGAGCATTGGGCATTTCATATCGTGGCCGGAAGGAGACTTGGGTTAGGGACCCTAGTTTCCCCAAACCTTTAACTAAGAAGCAGAGGCCAATTTCTCACATGGGTCTCCTTAAGAAAGAGAGTACCTAGATCCTGTCCCATGAGGTGACTCGCACCTTACAGTGCTGTGCAGAGTCCCCCACCTGTCCCCACCACAGGGGCCCTGAAGGACCTGTGCTGTGTCTGATAGTGATCCTGAAAACAGAACCTCAGATTCTTGCCTCTTGCAGGAAGCCAGAAGCCACCGTGTATGACCAGGGCGTCCATTCTGCCTCCACCCAGCTCTGACCCTATCTGCCTACTGTCTTCCCTGCAGTCCTGGCACTGCCACAATGATGGAAAAACTCTGGCCCCGCCCCTACCCCACTCCTACTCATGCTCAGGAGCAGATACGTGTGGCACAGGAGGGCAGACCCTCTTACCTGGCCACAGGTGGGCAAGCCGTGCCCAGAAGGTCCTGAGTTGTCCCTGTCTTCCAGACTCTTTTGGGGATCACTGTCACTTTTGAAGTATTTTCGGGGTGGAGGCTTAGGCTTGGAAGATGTGGGCTTTCTCACTAGGATCTCGAAGGACTTCTTCAGCCTCAGAGGCGAGTGGCCATCCAGGCCACTGGGCAGAGCGGGGCTCCCCTGCGGCAGGCCTGGGCTGTGTGTGCTGCCTTCAGGACAGGATGGCTGCTGCCCAGCACTGCCGCTGCAGGGACTGCCCCCCGGGGACCCCGACATGTAGCTGCTGTCGCTGCTGGAGCGGACCATGGCCCTCTGTGCCCTGCGGAGTGTGGGGGCCGAGGTCTTCTCCCACTCCTTCTCCATGGTGGGCCGCCCATGCCAGCTGCTCTCCAGCCTCTTGACACCTGCAAGGAAACAGGACCCTGGCACTGAGCTCTGGGGCAGTGCTTGGCAGACTTGGCCCACTGTGCTCAGCCCAGGCCACTCTGGGCTTGGATATGAAGAGTGGCATGGTTTGGGAGTTGGGAAAATCATCTGAACAGTGTATGGTGGGTACACAGATGTGCTATTCAGGTCCCCCAACAAGGAAGGCCTGGGTGCCCCAGCAGTCAGGAGACTCATGGCAGATGGCTTCCAGTGGTTGATCCCTCCAGGGAGGCCTCAGCTGCAGAGTGCCACCTGTGAGAGGCAGCCTCATCCTGGTAGTGGTGAAGGCTGTGTAAAGATCCAGCTGCTTCTGCCAACACTGGCAGCTTCAGCAGGCTACCTCGGCTACAGAGCTCAGGGGCTGGCCCAGCTCCACATCACTGTCCCCCCCCCCCCCCCGCCATACTTCCTCTCCTCCTTCCTATAGTGCTTTAGGAAACCTCCTAAAGGATGCTGAACTCCATTGCAAGGTCAGCTTTCTGAGGAGGGAAACAGCCCACAACACTCCACTTATGCACCAGAAAAAGGAAGCCGCTAACTCCAGGGTTGCTGAGCTTGCTCCATGTTCAGCGTCGTGGAAACTGAGCAGGTGGACAAGAGCAAGTAAGTGAGGACAGGTGGAGGAGGACAGGTGGGAAGGTACTTCGCACCTTGTCCCTGGAGGTCGCCATTCTTTCCAGAAGAAGATGGAGCAAGGACCCACCCGGCCTCTCCCTCCGCTCCCCATTCCAGCTCTTCCCCCTGGCTCCCTGCCCCACAACAGCTTCCTGAAGGCGTCCACACAGTCCAGAGTCGCCCTCTCTCCTGCCCAAGCGCCCTTTCCTGGGAACCCCAAGGCCTGGACTCCCGCTCCCTTCTTGACTATCTGGAGAGAACCAAGGTCAGCCTAGGTTCAAATCACTTGGAGGAAAAAGGTTTTTTTTCTGCCTTTTCCTGGTCATAAAATAATAGATCCTTATCTGATAAAGCACAGCTTCAGAGAGGAAGCTGCGAAAGACCACATCCTCAGGCCTGATTATTTAGAGATGACCACTGTTAACATTCTGGTGACTTTCTCTGTCCACTTTCCTGAGCATATACATATGCTGGGTGGGCTGAAGTAGGAGCACACAGTTGAGATAAAATCAGGCTCCTCCCTTTTCTCTTAAGGTTGTTGCATCTTTTACACACCCTTGTAAATGTTGGGGTAAATGGCTGCTCATTGTTCTATTGTGTGGCTGTCCCATGATCACTTGGCTTAAGCCCAGCAGCTGGGCCTGACCGCCAGCTGGCCAGGTTCTCTGTGCCCTACCCTGTCCCAGGTCTTCTGTACACCACCATTGTGACTTTGGGTAAAGGTTCCTCTCAGAGCCTCACTTTTTCCTATCAAATGGATTTGGAAATTAAATACGATGATTTAGTGAAATCATGCTTGCATTAGCAGTCTGGCATTATAAAAACTCCATATATGTTTGATATTACCACTTCCCAAGCTTTTGGTATTATATCTAAGGTTCACAACCTCAAGTGTGTATGGAGCAACGTGCATGAAAAGAATTGGTAGATGATAAAGGGAGGGCTAGGGGCTGGGGAAATAGCTCAGGTGAATAAGCCCTTGCCTGGCAAGTGCAAAGGCCTGAGCTCAATCCCTAGCTCCGGAAACACACACACACACACACACACACACACACACACACAACAGGAGGAGTGACTGGACCATTGGGTACCAGATAGTGGCTGCCACATTTAAAACAATTCATATGTAAGTGCCTTAATCTTGTACCTTCCAACCAGAGCAAAAATGTGCACCAATTCAGCTTCAGACTCCTGACTTGCAATTCTTGTCTATGTATCTTGACCGTCTGTGATAACTATTCTCACATGTTTATGAGGCAGAGAAACACTTAATGGCTAAAGCCTGGGCTTTTGTTTTGTTTTGTTTTGTTTTGTTTTGTTTTGTTTTGTTTTGCAGAACCAGGGATTGAACTCAGGCCCTTGAGCTTGCCAGGGAAGCGCTTGTTCTACTGAGCCATCTCTCCACCCCCCTGAGCTTTCTAGGAAGGCAAAGACTTTTCAGGTCAAAGTTGACTATTTCCCATGTGGATGGATAAGCTGCACTGTCTCTGGGACAAATCCTCTGGCATCGGAAAAGTAGAGAAGGAAAGGCTTATTTCCGGTGCATGGCTGCCGAGGTTTGAGAGCATGGTCAAAGGCAGAAGCATCGTGGCAGAGGGTGAGGTGAAGCAAAGCTGCCCACTTCATGGTATCCTTGAAGCAGCGCATAAGGGAAGAGGGACAGCAAGAACCACACCCTGCAAGAGCCCATCTTCCAGCAGGGCCACTTCCTAAGAGCATGTGCATCTATGAATGTCAGTGGCGTGATCCACTCAGAAGTATAGTGCCCATGGTCCAGTCACCTCTCCCAGAGTCTTTACCTTCCAAACTCCACTGGTGTCTCTCCTTTCCGAACCTGATATTTTCTGCAGCCTGAGCCACAGCTTCCTTGAGTTGCTGTTCCGAGACCTAGAAAATATCAACCAAAGTTTCGGGTCTATCTTCCATGTGTTGGGTCTGGGAATCCAACTCAGGACCTTGTGCTTGCCAGGCAGGTGCTTGTACCACTGAGCTATACCCCTGGCCTCTCCCACAGCAGTGGAAACCATATGTCAGGCCATGCGTAACTGTGGGCTCTGGGCTCTTTCCTTCCACTCAACATTGCCCCGAGCTGAACTAGTCCTCTTCCAGAAATGCACTGGGCACTGATGGTGCCAGTATCTTCTAGAGGAACTCTGGATTCTGTCCACGAAAGCAGCTCCTCTCAATGCTCCAGCCTCCTGCCCACTGTGTGCTGTGCTAGAGTTTGCCTCTGATTCCTGACAGTGGCTTTCACCAGTGCTCAGGCAGCAGGAGGCACTGGGGAGCTGTTTTGTTCTACTTCCCAGAGGTGGAGGCCAGGGCTTGCTGACCTTAGGTTTAGCTGCTGCGTTTGGCCTCCGTGCACAATGGCTCCATTTAAATCTGCTGTGGTCTCATTGGAGAAGTCAGGCATGCACATTATGCTACTGAGTATGCTATTTTCTTGGAGTCCCTTAGCTACGAACATAGGCTTTGCTGGGCTTAAATCCTAGCTGCTGCACTTCCTAACCAGCCATTGTGCTAGTTCTTTTCCTCTCTGCACCTCAGTTTCCTTTTCTGTGAGTTGGAGAGGGAAAAGCTCACCAGCTTCAGGGATGTGCAGGTGAGGGTGCCATGTGCTTGGCCAACATGCCTGGCACCCCTAGGCAAGGAGTAAGCACACAGCGGTAGTGACTATCACCAACTCCCCGAGGGGTCTCTTCTCACCTATGCCAGGCTCCCGCATCCAGCTTCCACCTGGATCTCACAGCCACCCTCAGCCTAAATTCAGCTGCCTATCAGGCAGCTCCATCTGCACAGCCCCGACACCATCCTCGCGTTGTCCCACACCGACGGCAGAGCTGCCACTGCTCCCTCAGTCTCAGAACTCTTGAAGCCTCCCAGGCTGTTCCGTATCTCCTAACCTACAGCTAACTGGCCAGCAGACACTCTTGGCCCTGTCCCAGGGCAGCTTCTTTTGCCCCTTTTTCTCTAACTCTCCCCACATCTGCTACTTGGCTTAGGCCCCACCATTTGTTTCCTTCCTCCAAAGATCCACACCCCGCCCACTCTACCCTGCCCTCTACAACACACTCACAGGCTGAAGAACAAATTCTGAACACATCCCATCTGTAGCTAAAGGCCCTGCAGCTTCTCAGTATACAAAGCAAAACACAGACTAGCAATTTGTATAAATCCTTTTACAGTGAAACCTCAGTGCCTTCCCAGACAACATCAGTCCTCAGTTGACCCTCTCTGGCACCCTCAGCAGCCCTGCCATGCCCAACAGCCCCCTTCCTGACTCTTAACTTTGACCTTTGTGTTTTCACCACATGGCAAGGATCTCCTTCAAATTCTCTGCAGAAAATTAACCTTTGGCATTTCTTATTTTAGAAACCCTTCTCTGCCATATTTCCTGAGTACTTACAGCTCCAAATTGTGTTTCTTGCTATGTTAGTCTCCTTGCTGAAGCTGTGAGCTGCTGCTGCAGTACTGTTCTATGAGCTCCCTTGGCTCTGTGTCCTGTGCTCCAAGCACCATACATCCTCCTAGCGGCACCCACATGGAGGAATGAATGAATCTCTTGACTCCACTAGTGGAGCACCTGGGTCTCGACCTTCCTGCCCTTGAGCTTGTAGCTCAGCAGCAAGCGCTTCCTAAGTTGAGACCAACAGCTTGTGGTATCTAAGGGTCCACTGATAGACCTCTGCTGCAGATATTTGCTACCACCGAAAGTTGGAATGAGTTCTTGGTGATTCCAACTAAGCCCTAGCCAGCAGTGCTCCATTTCAATTCATTTCTTGCTCCAACTTGGGTACCAAAGGAGTGAGCCAGGTGTTACCTGGGGGTCTGGGTGCCGGCTGACAATGATGGGGACTGGACCGGGACTGCAGTGACTCAGGATCCCGTAGACTTCATTGAGTGTCATGCAGTGCACAGGGGAATCATTGATCTCTACAATCTCATCGCCACACCTGCAAAGTACCAAGCAGAAGCTGTCAGGTGGCTGGTGATTGGGACATCTGGGAGGTCACCTACCTGTTTCCCTGTCCAAGCCATGGATGAGATCTAAAATCCACATTACCAACTAAGGGTCTCTAAAGACCTAACCAAAACCTACACAGGGCCAAGTAAGCAGTTTCTGCCCCCACTCCCACATTTAACGGGCACTGAGAACTTGTATGGTGGTTCTAGCAGGGGACCACAGCTACTCATATACCCTTGACTGAGGAATGGTCCTCCTCTTTCGGGATGGTCATCCTCTTTGACTGAGCATGCAGCTTCCAGGGGGACATACATGAATCATTGAGGGAGGAAGGGGACACCTGCCTAGCCAGCTAGATCATGAGAACAACAAAGTCTTGCACAACTTTCCTCCTCTCTTTCCCATCTAAGTTCACCCAACCACGAAGAAGGGCATGAGTTACCAAGCTAACCTGGTCTAACTGATTAACCAGTTAGTTAGCCATGACACACCCCATGGTGTCCTCTCATCTCATAAGCAGAGTAGCAGAAAGACTGGATAGGCTGCACTAAGAAGAAGAAATAACTGTTGGAGAACAATTCTGTTCTTTCAAGAAGAAACAAAGAGACCAGATGATGGATTTCAACTCAGCTTTCAAGTGGCCCAGGTGTTTCTGGCAATGCCTACGGCAGGGTAAGTGCGGTAGCCTAATCCCAGCCTCTGGCAGGGTCTGCTGCCCACTATAGCCCCCCAAAGCAACAGCTACAAATAGCCATGGACCAGAACCTCCAAAGATAGGAGCCAAATTAAACCTTTTCTCTTATAAGTTAACTATCTCAGATATTGGTTACCATAATAGAAAACCAATACAGCAGCCTAAACAGAGAAAAGAAGGAGATACAGAAGATACAGTTGGACCTATATAGGAAAGATTTGCACAATGCAACCCTTTTCCCTATGAGGGATCAGGAAACTGAAGCAAAAGATGAAATTATTTCTCTGACACAGTCCAACTTACAGATTGACACTTTCTTTGAAGAATAAATACTTTAGGTTTTATAGACCATTCCATCCCTGTCACAGCTGGTCAACCTTGCTGTTGTAGAATGACAGCTACAGTCAGACAGTTCAGAAACACATGTGTATATTATGTGTACCTTTGTTTCAATAAAACTTTGTTTAAAAACCAATAGGTGCCTGGCTACAGCCTCCAGACTATGGGCCCTTCTGATGATCAGCAGGACAAGAAGGGCACCCAGGTCTCTTGATGCTAAGAGAGTTTGTGTTTTTATCAACGTAACTGAGCACCACTGTCATGTAACTCCACAGGCCACCAGAAGTAGACACTTCCTGGACAATCCCTACCTGACTGCAGGCCTAGGAGGGACACCCTTGTTTGAGAGTCTTAGAGATAAAGCAACCAAGCATCACCCTGACCCCTGGTTGTGTCCCAATTAGTTCCAGCACAGCTGCCCAGTAAATTACTTGTCACCTACCTGTGGGAAAGCAACCAACTTGTTTCTAATTCAGAAGTTCTGCCAAAGTGCCCAATAAGTAAGGCCTGCTGTCTGCGTACCACTACAATTATAGAGAAATTCTTAAAAATGGGGCAAAACTCTTCCAATTTAGCAAAACCTGAGTCAATGCTGGAGAGAGTGCAAAGCACTGTAATAAATTACATTGAGCTAAAATATTTCAGTCAAACTCAGCACTTTTTTGAAAAGAAAATTTAGATGTGTGCCTCTCTTAGAATTCATCTATAAAGAAATAACTGGCATGATTAAAAATATTTTTATGTAACTGAGAATGTAGAATAGGTCTTTAAAATTCATGATTTTAAGCCAGACAAGGTGGGGAATGCCTGTAGTCCTAGAACAGTAGGAGGCTGATGCAGGAGGATCCAAGTTCAAGCTCAGCTTGGGCAACTTAACAAGAGTCTCTCAAAGTTAAAAATAAAAATTAAAAAAGGAGCTAGGGATGTAGCTAAGTAAAAAGGCTCTGGGTTCAACCCCCCATATTAAATATTATAATATAATCTTAGAATTTTTCTGTTAGAGATGGTCTGCTCCTCCATCATCTTCATCCAGAGAGTGTAAGCATGGTTCCCTCCATTTCAGACAAATAGATGCAGAAGTAGCACCTCTGTTTCCTGAACGGCTCTAGGTGCCGGCTCTAGGGGGCCAGCATCCTGAGTGGGCATTGGTGACAAAGACTTCCCTGTTTCCTTTGGAGCTGTCTTTTCTTTTCCACCAAGATGCCCATGCTCTTGGATGGGGACAGGCTGTAAGGGATCACAACCTCCAGCTACATTCATTACATACACACACACACACACACATTTTCCACCAAGATGCCCATGCTCTTGGATGGGGACAGGCTGTAAGGGATCACAACCTCCAGCTACATTCATTACATACACACACACACACACACACACATACACACACACGAATTATACCAGGGCTTTGCATGGAAAGCTATTTTTCCATAGAGGCCTCACACACAGCCTCACTGAAGGCCCTGCTCCTGTCCCTGTGAATTCTGTTAGTTAAATAGGAGGTAAATGCTCTTGCTTTGCCTTTCCTCCTGTGGATGGACGGGGCTCTCTAAGCCTCTGGTCTCACACCTCTCTGCCTGCCTCGTGTGGATTCCTGGGTCCGCATCAGCAGCTCTGGGCTGGGGCTTCTGAGATGCTGCCCATTTTTCCTTATTTGGTGGCGGGAGGTACTGGGGGTTGACTCCAGGGTCTAGGCAGCCTCTATGTGGGTGGAGCAGGCGGCAGACGCCAAGAAGCCAGGCGCTAGGCACTGAGTCGCTCTCCAGGTCTCACCCCCACCCAGTCCCCCTCCGGTCCCAGGGAGATTAGCAGGCAGACCACGTACCTCAGCCGGCCATCCAGGTGTGCCACAGACCCCGGTGAGAGCGTGTGGATGAAGATCCCCGAGATGCACTGGAAGTAGGGGACGCTGCACAGGCCAATGCCCAGGCCCACGCCGGCCTCTGGAAGGCAGGACAGGGTGCAGTGAGCATCCTTGTTCCATCAGCCAAAGCCCGCTTTCTGATGGGGCACACCCCACCCCACCCATGTCTGTGAGCATCCCCTGTGTGTGGTGCTGAGGGTCAGAGAGGCCGTCAGTCCCAGTGGAGAAAGATCAAGGCGGGGTTGGGGGGGCGGGGATCAGTGCCACACAGAGAACTGATGAGGAGCAGGGCAGGGCGGCCCTGCAGGCCTCGGAGGGTCAGCATTCAGGCCATGCTGTGGGTGACAAGGAGCTGGCAGGAGCAGATTCCAGCAGCAGGAGCCGCAGATGCCAATGCAAGGGCGAGAAACAGTGTGTGGGCTGCAGGCTTGCGAGGTGACAGGACCCCAAGGTGATAGGCACAAATACGTGTGAGGCTCAAGGGGAGATCCCGCAGGCCTCAGGATCAAGGGTGGACAGCAAGCGGGCAGGGAGGGGACTGACTTTCCTGCGGACAGGAGGGTGTGCTGACCGCATGAGGGGAAAGGACAGAGCGGTCAGGACTCAGAGCAGGTAGAAGCCCTGAGAGAGGCGCAGCAATGGCTCAGAAGTCACCACATGTGAAGACAGAAAGGGATGAGCCTACAACTGCTTTGCAGGTGACTTGCTGAGGAATGAAATCTGGGGACCTAATGAGTAAAAACCAAATGACTTAGGACAGGATTTTGGCTTGACGTTGTTTACCAAAACAAGGGAGGCCTGGGTACCAGAGTGGGGCCAGGGCCATGCAGATGAGGGTGAGGTGTGCTCTTGTGGGTTTGAGGCACTGGGGTTGGAACAGCCTGGGTCTTGCAGACCACACCCCACCAAGCTGCATCCCACCCTGGGTCTGGGTTTCCCTGAGCTGTCCTGGTGAGGACAGTGCTGCTCCAGTGCTGCGTGTGGCAGGGAGCCACAGAGACAAACCTCAATCTGAGGCCAAACGTGGGGTGAAGTTTATCCCCTGTAGTAGCATGTGCAGGTGTTAGGGCCATGGGGCCCCCAGAGGATGGAGGGGCAGGCCCAGGGCTGGCCAATTTACACAGGCCAGGAAATAGCAAGTGGCCTCTGTGTACGGGGAGGACCTTCCCCTCTGGTTGCGCGGGCGTGATTTCTGAGGCTCCCTGGTGGATGCCCTCTCCTCGCCATCTGGCTTTCCCAGTGGCCCCATGAGGGCAGCACAGGCCACTCTCAGAGCCTCCATCCCCCCCATTCTGTGACTGAGCATTTTAGCTGTGACAGTGGATAACAAGCAAAGATCAGGGCCCGTCCCACATCTAGTTTTTCTGATGGTGTTAGAGTTAGGGTTACAGTTCTGGGGCCTCACATCCATCAGAATCACCTGGGCCCTTGCACACGATGAAGGTCCCTGAGCCACATCCGGACACAGTCTAAAAAGCCACATTTCTAAATTAAACAAACCAACCCACTCCCAGGTACTTCTGATGCCAATGATCAGAGGAAGCAGCACTCTGAGGCCACGCCTACCACCATCCTGCCAGCTCAGCAAATTCCTGTGCAGACCACACAGGCCCGGGTGTCCCCAGTTCCCATGCCAGGCACAGCACCAGGAGCAGGGCACAGGGCAGTCTGAGGCCTTACATGTGCATCAGGCAAGAGTCGTGCCTGGGACTAGGTATGCGGGAACACATCCTCTTTCTCACCTTGACCTCCAGCTTAGGCCTTTGCCTCCGCCCAGACTGTCTGTGCCTCCAAAGAGCCCCTGCTTGATCCTGCTCTGAGCCGCTCTGTGCACAGACCTAGGAGACCTCAGTCAGAGCCTGAGCTGTCCAGCAACCTGTTGGAGAAGCCTCAGAGGACTTCTGGTTGCAGTCAGAAGGGAATTGGACTGCCGAGTACTGCAGGTCAGCCCCTCCATCTCCACCTAGTGGTCACTACTTACCCTGGGATAGAGCCTCAGCTCCTGGGCCAATGTGTATGTGCATGTGTGTGTGCGTGCACATGTGTGTGGCTCTGTACATACCCCTACTTTGCTTTGTTGTGACCACTTTGTCAGAACCACAACATCTGTGAATCAGCACCTCGCTGCTGGCCCCTCGGCTGACCTCTCCTGACACTGGGCTGGTACAGCGCATAGAAGAGCCCCACACCCTCACCCCTACCTTTCTTCAGGGACACCTCCACCATGATTCTGTAATTGGGCTTGGCAGTGCTGGCTGGAGGCGTGGGGCTGTCCATGGTGAAAGGGCTGCTGCCCTCCTTGGCAACGCAGGTGCTGGAGCTCAGGGAGCGGCACAGTGGGGGCGACAGGTGGCCACACAGGGAAGGGGGTGCCGTCAGACGGGTGCGAACTGTGAGCGTGAGCAGCCCCTTTTTGGCTTGCTGAAAGGAAAGACAGGTGGTGTGTAACAACATCCAGGCCAGTAGGCGGGCAGAGCAGGGCTGACTGAAGAACAGAAGAAGGCCCCTCCTGGGGAATGTAGCCCTGCGTGTGTGATATATGAACATGTGTGTATTATTGAACATATTATATATAACACACATATGTACACATATGAATGCTATACATATAACCTACTTCGTATATACTATATGTCATATTTACATATATATTCCAGAAAGTCTTGAGCTATATATAGCTTCAAAACTATCCTTCAATGATGTCTTAAAAATGCAAAACCTATTTGTAAATACCTTAGCATAAAGCAGAGTGTTTTGAGGTGGCTCTGTAAATCTTTTCTTTTATGTATTTGGTTGTTACAGGGTCTCACTATGTATTTCTGACTCCTAGTGGTCCTCCTGCTTTCAGCCGCCCCAGCACTAGAACTACATGTGTGCACCACTATGCCCGGACCCTGGCCAGCTCAGCCTGTGGGGGTGGGGGTGGGGGGCTGGCATGTCATGTGGTTCTGGGGCTTGAACTGTGGTCCCTGTACTTGCCTAATCTTGCCTAAGCAGGAACTTCAGTCTGCTGAGCTATGTCGCCGGCCCAGCTCTGTACATCTTCAATGGTCTAAATATTCTCAACAGCAATCCTGATTTCATTACTATTTTCTCAATAAGTTCTTTTATTA